GATGCTGGGTAAAAAATTGAGTTAAATTTAAACTCTTGTGACCTACTTCACAAAGTTTTACCTCACCATGATGTGGATTAAACAAGATTAAGAGCAATGTGGGATATTTCGCGGCTCCCATGAGAGGAAGCCACGACTCTCCAGAGGCTTAGAGAGGGTGTTTGGCGCCCGGGGACACGATTCGTGCCCGGGGACAAGATCCATTTTAAAGCACCCCCTTTTCTTTTTTTTTCAACTCTCAAACCCATTATTTTCACCAATAATATAATATCAAAACACATTTTGGCGCCCCTAACTAGCTTGCGCACGGGGACATCTGTCCCCCCTGCCCTACCCCTCGCTACGCCTCTGCGACTCTCTAGGGCAACGGGTTTTACTGTTTACTTATTCGGGAACAATGAAAATTGGTAAAGCTATATGAGATTACAATTATACAAATAGATCTATTTTAATGAACAATTTTTTTTGAATGTACAACTTAAAAAAAAAAATTATTTATGAGATCGTCCTATTAGAATTTAATAAGCAAAAGTTTGTTTCAAGCTTACTGCCGTGTGAACCTCGAGCCTTGGGAGCATCAGATTTACAGAGTCGGAGGAAGAGGGTTCTTAATGGGTCGGCATCCCATTGTATCAGCTTTTCATCCTTTGTATGGAGTAGACGTCTTTATGGAATAACGTCGGGGCGTCGAAATCTTAGCTCGCACCAGGCGTTACAAATCCAAGCCACCCCCATTTCATATTTGGTTGACGGTTGCAAAGCAAGTGAATCATGTGCATTTGTTGAAAAGCTGTGAAGGCTTTTTTTTTGGTCCATGGATGTAACAAATGTGAAGCTTTCTTTCAACAGTAAGCAGTAGTTACATAATGATACGTTGATTACTTTATTGTATTTAATTTTAAACATGTCACAATTTTATGCTATTGCAGTTTGCTTATTAGTCCCCTGTACTCCAATCTTCCACACTCCATTACAAATTGACAAATCGCCAGTTAAACACAGGGGCTGACCAGCGTCCAAGATCAAGCCTGTACTATATAATAACTTTGCACATTATTTAGCTGACCCTTGATTGAAGCATACTATGTGTTTTAAAAAATGGTTACTAACTCTACATCAATATATATACCGGGGAGATTATGCTTGTAAATAGAGACACGGAAAGAAAAGATGAATGTTTTAATGCATCATTACATTTCCGTGGGATTAGTTTCGTACCATTAGGGCCTTCCATTAGCTTAGTACCACTAGGGCTCTCCATTAGGTTTGTACCACTAGGGCCTTCCATTAGCTTAGAACGAGATAGGTCCCACCATCAGCTAAATACCAGATAGGATCCTCCTTGGCTTAGAATCTGATAGGGCCCTCATTTGCATAGTACCAGCTAAGGCCATCCATTAGCTTAGAACTCGATATTTTGCATCCATTTGCTTAGTACTAGATAGGTCTATCACTAACCTTAGTACCAGATAGGTCCCTCCATTAGATTAGTACCAGATGTAGCCCCCCCCCCCACACCCAATCACCACTGATGCTATCCATTAGATTAGTACCAGATGTAGCCCCCCCCCCCCACCAATTAGCTCAGTATCAGTTAGGGCCCTCTATTAGCTTAGTACAAGAAATGTATAGTAAAACTATATATTTTAATACTATGTATGTGTAATCTTACGTATTTTAAAACCATGTATATGCTACGTTATGTGTACGTGACTCTATGTAAATGTTATGTTTTTTTTTAATATGTGACACTATGTTTAAAGGGTAAGACGACCAACAAAAGAAAACATTGTAAATACCTTTCAATGTTATTTCCACGAGCAGTGCAGTTGTTCAACTTAATTTGTTTTTGATTGTATAATTTCACGTGAGCACCGGGTCAACTTTGCAGTTAAGGGCGAGGTGAACCCTTTGCACCTTGGGGGAAAAGTCAAACAGGTAGACGAGGGAAAACTATACGTTAGGGTAGAACAGTGGCAGAACTCAATAGCGTAAGAAGAATGGTCACAGGGGAAAAAAAGAGTATGGTTAAACCTGAAAAATTAAACGTAACAAAACAGCGAACGTGTCGGCAGAAAGCCTTCGTCAGCGAACAAAACAACAGAAAAAACGTTATAAAAATAAGAAATAGCACTTAGCTGGTAAGTAGTATCTGTGGGCAGCAATAGAAGTGTGACACTTCTATTGCTGCCCACAGATACTACTTACCAGATACTACTTACCAGCTAAGTGCTATTTCTTATTTTTATAACGTTTTTTCTGTTGTTTTGTTCGCTGACGAAGGCTTTCTGCCGACACGTTCGCTGTTTTGTTACGTTTAATTTTTCAGGTTTAACCATACTCTGTTTTACTCATTTTATTTTGTACTAACCTGATTGCAGTCTCTCCCCTTATTACCCCTGGTCACAGGGGAGCCGTCCGAGCCTAATGGCACTTAACGCTTTATAGGAAGGTTTAGCGTTATCTGCAAATTGCAGATAGTGTCCTGTCTTTTTCCCCTGGAATCAAGGAGGTAACATCCTGGGTACCGGGTGGCACTAAAACTGTCTCAGTTATTCGTTCCACTGTCAAGCATATGTTAATTTATTTTAACATAAAAAGTATACTTTACAACTTATTGATCGTAACTATAAAATTTTAATGTAAGTTGAAAATTATTGATATGTTTTATGTTCACATCGTATTGTTTCAATATTTGTATTTTAAATTTTGGGCGATAATGAGAATAATCGGTAGACTCATTACTTTGTCATAGTCCGTTCACAAAAAAAAACTATTCATAATAAAATGTCCTGTATTGAATACAATCCCCTCTGAATAGAACCATGACCAAAGGTCCATCAAACATATATGAGAAAATATATATGAGGATATTTTCTCTTCATTAAAACACTCAAAGAAAGTATGGAACCTTCTTTCACATTTGTACTTCAGGAAAATAATGTGACAACAAGAAAACGGGAAAACCAGTTTTAATTCCAATTTGCTTTTTAACAGCAGTAAACAAAAAATATTTTCATTATTATTTACAGCTGATTTCGAACAAAAAAATGTTCATGACGCTAACCCTAACCCTAACAATAACAACAACAACAATAACAACAACAACAACAATAACAACAACAACAACAACAACAACAAAAAGCACAAATGAGAACAAACTTACTTAAACGACATCCACGCTTGTGAAAATAAAAGCAAAAATGATAACACTGTTTTGTTAAATCATTAACAATAAATATTTTAAGAATCTGTATTAAAACAAAATAATATTTAGGTCGTTATTGAAATGTTAATTCAGGCTTGATAAAAGTAGGTTATCATAAATATAAAAAATGTAAAAAAAATCCTGGGTACTTTTGTAAAACTAATTAACTCTCTCATTACTGCTGGTTTTAACATTGATTTTTCCTGACAAAGCAATTAAAAACTTAAAGATGAAATTTTCTGTATTTTTCATTCTCTAACCGAGTCGCTTATTAACTTCTCAATAAATTAACGAATAAATAAATATATAGCATTGAAATATGACGTCCAAGTGACGTCCTTGGTATTTCAGAAAAGTTCTTTGCCTCTTTGTTATGATGACGAATTGACGTCATTGGTAATAGAAAGTGGGGGATTGTGACGTCGCTTTGACGTCAGCAGGAATGGACTGGTTAAGGTCATATTTAGTCAATTTATTTTGAAATCGTACCAAACCAAACTGCAATTTTTATTATTCTGTGAATAAATGTATTTATGAACATATGTTGATATGGGTAAAATTAAATCTTAAGATTGCTTTATCATTGTTGCCTCCAATATGATCTTAACCAGTTCCTTCTCGCTTATTAAGGGCATCCATTAATTACGTCAACAAAATAGGGGGGGGGGGGTAGGAAATGTTTGACAGTTGTTGACAAGGGGGGGGGGGGGGGGGTTGGATCAGTTGACGTCAACAATCTTGTTTTCTCTATGAAAATTTTAATCTTAAAATTTGACTCTGTATTACATTATTTTAAAAAAATAATTAATTACGTCAACAAAATAGGGGGGGGGGGTAGGAAATGTTTGACAGTTGTTGACAAGGGGCGGGGGAGGGGGGTTAGATCAGTTGACGTCAACAATCTTGTTTTCTCTATGAAAATTTTAATCTTAAAATTTGACTCTGTATTACATTATTTTAAAAAAATTATGAATGTAAATGAGTGTAAATAGTTATATAATTTTTAGTTTTTAGGCTATGAACAATATACGATTTATTTAATGTGTGTCTGTGCACTGCAGATGGATCTTCAGAATATTGGCACAAGTTTGCGTCTCTTCACGTGCAGATTCTGTTGCAGGTATAGAAAAAGGACAAGGTTCAAATGTCATGTGCAGTCAAGATAAATGGTATTGATAGAGTAGGAATACGATATTTTGAGAATTATATGAACGTAAAATGAGTAACAATAATAACATCGCTGCTTGAACGGATCTGCAAAATATGTAACATCTATTTTGCATCAAAATTCATTTTGAAAAAGCATGTTCAACGCCTTCTTGAGCATAAGAAATATGCACCTGCGCCTCGACAAAAAAAGAATTCGACCATTGCAAGTAACTGCTTCGGGACGCCTAAATGCCCCGTTTCTAAAACCAAACACATTTTCAAATATTAGATCAGAAAGAGGTTTTAACAATGGCTGGGACGACAGCCAAATATCCTCAATATAAATCCTAGATTAGATAAATGTAATTTGTTGAATTATATTATGTTGTAAAAATATGTTTAAAATAAATAATTATTCACTGAAAAAATGATGGTTTTCGTTTATGAGATGCCTCAAAGTTTAAGTTAAATTTCAAAAGTGAGGGTAGATTTAAACAGTGTTAGCAAAACTCGAAAAGACATTCTAAAAGATATTTAAAGTACTTAAACAGCGAGTTTCTGCTTTTTTAGAACCGCTTTAAAATGGGCTGGCCATCTGTTGGACAACCCACCAAGCACGTCATTGTCTCGGAAGTACTTAATCTTGGAACGAGCCGATCTATTTCCTTTGGGATGTCTTGTTTCTAACAGTCGTATCAGTACCCTCGACACCTATTCAAGCAGACCGCTGTTCGGTCTATGCAGTTCTTAGTGTTAATATCATTTACAGCATATCAGAGGTAACGATCTGTTTTTGTTAATTTTCCATGAAGGAAGTTTTTTTTTTACAGAAACTTAAAATACTATGTACAAATATTTGCTATGCTTCTGTGAGTTTAACTTTCAAAATTAAACTTACATCATTGTCCTGGTTATCAAAAAAAAAATGGACAGTATTTTAGATTCCCTATCTTGTCTTTTTAAATTAATATAAGACTTATATAAAAAAATAATTGAAGCTTCTTCCTTTATTTAGCTATATTTAGAAGTAAGTATAATAAGAGGGAGAAACGGTTGGTATGCAAGACAAAAGGAAATAACTAAAGCAGCGTTTGGGAAAACTTGAAAAAAAAAAAAAGGATCAACGAAGAAACCAACGTGTGGTAAAAAGAATATAAAAATGACAGTCATCACTTAGCTGCTTTGTAAGTTTTTATTTTAATATGTATTATAATTTTATTATATTGATGTTCATTTGTGTGTTTATATAAAAAAATAATGTAATACATTACCTTTTTCTTATTATAATAAGAGGCCAAGTTCAATGTATCGATTATTCCTGCATTATGTATTTTTAGAGGGATTTGCAATATATCTGAGCATATACTTTTTTATAATCGGTGCTAAAGTCTAATTTCATAAATCACGTTAACTCATTTCACAGGTATGGTAAGTAAAATATACTTATAAAATATCATTAATGTATATTGTTGAATGCCCAATAGCTTAAAATATGTTTTTAAATGTATTACTAATAGCTGATGCACCAGTTGTAAAATTTATGGTAGTTTCAGTTCCAGAACTTATCTAATCCTGTGGCTATACGAATTTTAGTCTTAATTTATGGGTAATTTATAATTTTATTTGTGTAAGTTATTTTTAAATATGTTTTATATGCATTTCGTCTTAATTAAATAATATTAATTACTTATACTTTCACCAGAATATATATTTTTTAATAACTAGCCTTTTACAGTTATTAAGTGGAGAGTGTTAAATTAACTGTTTGCAATGTGCCTATTCAATCTTTATTTGGATAAAATGTCTGACCTCTTGACATAACTTAATGTTAAACCTGAGAACAATTGCAAACATTTGAGAACCACTGTACATAATTAAGAAGCCTTGTTTAAATTTGGAAACGATTGCAAACATGTGACAATCAATATTTTAGAACTTTTGCACTTAAAGGACAATCATAGAACACATTTGAGAACCATTACACACATTTGAGAACCATTGCATACATTTGAAAATCATCGAACAAATGTGAGAACTAATGCGCACTTTTGAGAACCATTGGACACATTTAACAATCATGCACATGTTTGAGAACAATTGCAAACATTTTTTCAGTTTCAAACGTTCTTTTTCACTAACATGTCAGGTGACATTTGCCTCTAATATTTCTTTAAATTTATTTTATATTCCAGAAAACCGTGTTTCCAAGGCTACATCAATTTCTTCTGAGACAAAAAGATATAAACTACATTTAGAATTTTGCCTGCTGGATCTTGCCACAATGATTGTGCTTTCCAAATCAAAAAGTAAATTGACTAGCAAAGTAAAGTATCGTTGTTTTATAATGTTGATTTTCGCATCTGTCGTTCTTGGCGTCTCTTACTCAAATGAGTCATTTGCTCCAAACTTCTCCAGCCGAATCGTTCGCCGGTCCTTTCATTACACCAAGGCCATTAAAGAAAGAAGAGAAACCTTTAAGGCTCACCCAGCAAAAGATGTGGATAGATTAGGAAAAGAAATTGCTATTGAAAGATCAGCATTGATTAAAAAAAACGTGTCAATCAACTTGTGTCAGAAAATGCAGGGTATAAAATGCAAGGAAGATAAGCCAAGACACGAAATGCAGTTAACGAGACGAAAGGCAAGCGCTCTTCAAATACCGAGGCAACGCATTATAATGCAACTTCCGGAAAACTCTGAGGTCAAACTACAAAAAACAATTAAAAAACGAGGTACATTTTTACCAAAACCACCTGGACATAGACGATCCAAACTCAACCGAAACAAAAGGGCCGCAACGGCCGAAAAGTCCAGACTCTGGGAACATGCAACCATTCCTTACGTGTTCGATTCCATGTTCTCGGTAGAAGACAAAATTAGAATGATGATAGCCATGAGAACATGGGAAATCGCAACTTGTGTTAGTTTCAAAGAAAAAGAAGCGGCTGACAAGGACTATTTCATGTTTACCGATAAAGGCTGCGGTTGTTGCGCTGATGTCGGAAGGAAAGAGCACGGCGTGTCTTCAATTTCTCTTGCCAAAGATTGCAGGAACATAGGCATCATTATGCATGAGCTGGGACACATAATTGGATTTTGGCATGAGCACACGAGACCCGATAGGGATGAATATGTTGATGTGATTCTAGAACACGCCATTGAGAACAAGGCACACAATTTTATAAAGAATAAACCAGAGGAAGTCGATTCACTTGGTGAACCGTATGACGTCGACAGTATCATGCACTACGGTCGAAACAAATTTGCCAAAAGCCAACGAAACGACACGATAGTACCCAAAACTCTTCCCGGGTCAGTCGTGAGACCCACTATAGGACAACGGTATCGTCTAAGTCCAGGAGATATTCGACAGACAAACAAGCTCTACAAGTGTGCCTCGTGTGGGCAGACGTTCCAAGAAGACACTGCGACCTTCAGTCACAAGCCGACTGCTGGCAAATCAGAAACGTGTCACTGGCGTATACGAGTGGCCTACGGGGAGAGGATCGTGCTCAACATCACCTCACTCAGAATTCCGAGATCGGCAAACTGTGTCAACGGTCACCTGGAGGTGAGAGATGGCCCTAACTCCCAGTCACCTCAAATAGGCCGTTTTTGTGGTGGGAATTTGCCCGGTGCCTTGAAATCCTCGGGACGAAGAATGTGGCTTGAATACAAAACATTGCATGGGAAAGGCTCTGGATTTACTGCACATTACGTTACAGAGTGCGGAGGTGGAATACGCAGTGAGAAAGGTATCATCGCAAGTCCAACTTATTATGACAGATACCTTAAGAATCTTGATTGCTCGTGGAATATCACAGTAGAACCAGGGTATACAATAGCTCTAAATTTTGAGTTTTTCGAGTTGGAGACAAGTCCCATCTGCGAGTACGATTACCTCGAAATCAGAGAAGGAAATAAAAAAACAGATCCCTTGATTGGCAAATATTGTGGGTTGAATTACCCAAAAAAGTTAAATTCAAAAGCCAATCAATTATTTTTTAGATTTGTAAGCGACTCGGAAACTCAAAGGAAAGGATTTTACATTTCATTCGTCCAGGAAATCGACTAGTGTAACAATAATATACATACGTGTGACCAAGTGTGCGTCAACACCATAGGGGGTTACAAATGTGATTGCCACGTTAGATTCGAACTGAAATCTGACGGCAGACGCTGTGAGAAGGGGTTGCAGTGGTGTGATTAACACACTCAATATATCTCATCGCCCTTTTTTTGGGAAATTATTACTGCTCGTAATCTTAGTGCAACATCAATGCTGCATCTATTTTAACCAATAACCTAGAAGAAAAATAGGAATGGATTTAATTTTAAAAGTATTGTATATATAAAAAAAGAAAAGAGTTTCCCTTAAAAAAAAGAATACATACAGCGGAACGTCCGATGATGAACTTAAAACGTTCCAGGATTTCTTTCTTAAACAAAAACATTCACTAAAGTTTCCCCATTGATATCAACGTTAATTAAAAATGACTGTAATTTATTGTAGCCTTGGAAATTTTGCATTAAAAAAAAAAGTGTATTTTTTATTCTATAATTTAAACTAATATCAATGTATCTGAATTAGCAGCCTCCGCATGTCTTAAAACTCTTGGAACTTAGCTTCTTCATCGAAATTTATCTATTTACCCTTTACTCGCTTCAAAGTCTTCATCTTATGCTTTCGTAATCAGTGTTTTGATTTTTTTTTTTAAATACTGTGCAACATCCAAACACATATTCAAAAATATTTTCTCGCTAACACTATTGACAGACCACAGCCATCTGGCTAAGACTATTGACAGACCACAGCCATCTGGCTAACACTATTGACAGACCACAGCCATCTGGCTAACACTATTGACAGACCACAGCCATCTGGCTAACACTATTGACAGACCACAGCCATCTCGCTAACACTATTGACAGACCACAGCCATCTCGCTAACACTATTGACAGACCACAGCCATCTCGCTAACACTATTGACAGACCACAGCCATCTCGCTAACACTATTGACAGACCACAGCCATCTGGCTAACACTATTGACAGACCACAGCCATCTCGCTAACACTATTGACAGACCACTGCCATCTGGCTAACACTATTGACAGACCACAGCCATCTGGCTAACACTATTGACAGACCACAGCCATCTGGCTAACACTATTGACAGACCACAGCCATCTGGCTAACACTATTGACAGACCACAGCAATCTCGCTAACACTATTGACAGACCACAGCCATCTAGCTAACACTATTGACAGACCACAGCCATCTCGCTAACACTATTGACAGACCACAGCCATCTGGCTAACACTATTGACAGACCACAGCCATCTCGCTAACACTATTGACAGACCACAGCCATCTGGCTAACACTATTGACAGACCACAGCCATCTGGCTAACACTATTGACCGACCACAGCCATCTAGCTAACACTATTGACAGACCACAGCCATCTCGCTAACACTATTGACAGACCACAGCCATCTGCTTTCACGTATCTAAACTAACAACAGTTTTTCGATTTTCTCTAGCATTTTTGACTTATACTTGGTTAGCACAGTCACCCTTTTCCCAATCATTCCTTATCATTTCCTAGCTCAGTGTTCGTTTGAATATTACAAATTGCTGATTTCTCAATATCGCATGTCTTGGCGACGTCGTAAACATGAAGGCCATCAAAAAGGATGTTACATTGTCGTTTTTTTTCTTTAATTCATCACTTACAACATTTTTATATATAACAATTGTCCCTGTAGGCTCCATAATGAGGGCGAAAATAACAAAATGTGCAGAAATAAACCAAAAAGATCGTGTTCTTTATCACAGCACTCGGACAAAATGTGTTTAATCAAACGTCCTCTTTAACTGATTTATAAATATTTATAAATTGATTTAAACTTTTCACAAGTTTCTTCTCTCATAACGGTAATATAAGAAAGGCTAAATTATCGATCTTCATTGATTGTTTGTTTTTTTAAAAGGTGATGTTTATGATAGTTTAGAAATTCTTACCTTTAATCGTTAAATTTGTTTTCTTTAAAAAATTAAAAACTTGTATTATTTTTTGGTAAACGGCTTTTGGAAAGACTGTGCTATATCCATATATTTCAGTTATTTTGTGGGATATTTTGAAGGAGTTTTTATACTTATTACAATTATCTCGGAGGTTTAGGTTGTTTGACATTTTAAGAGCTTTAAATAAAAATGAAAAAAAAATATATGTAAAAAAAAAAGTGTTATGTTGTGTTTTTGGATTATGGATGATTATAAAATGTTCTCAATATTAAGGTGTGAGACTTAAAATGTAAGATGTGAAGAAATGACTGAAACACTCTCAATACTGCATTATTTAGGTTGAGTATAAAACATCATGTTATATTTTCCTTTTGGAAACTTCAGATTTATGTAAGGGATCTGCTGACTAGAAAATGCAGTAAACATGTCTTTCTGTATTATTTACTAAAGAATCAGAAGTGCCTCCTATCAACATGCCAGACCTTGTGATCTCACCATTCGAAGACAACGTTGTCTTGTCTTTGAGGCGGTCGGATGCCAACCAGAGATGAATGCAAACAAACACTTTGTGACAATTAAAAAAGGGTACCATTATTACATTTAAGATATCGAGTTAAGTGCTGCTATTTTGTAGAGGAGGATAGTTATCTGTTATTTTACTGTATGGCTCGTGTCAAAGGGACGATAATAAAGAACAATACCCAAACTAGATCCAATTCCAAATAACAATTTATGAAGCTAATCTGAAATTTCAAAATCAAATGGAATAAAGCTGAGTCTATTTACTTACAATACTGCAATGAATTTGTACCGGTACAAAGCAAAAAACAAAAGGTTCACACACACACACACATTAAATATTAATATACCAATATACGATCAATACAAAACTATGTCTTCTTTTTTGTCTCGTATCGTTATAGCCATCTCCTAAGCTCTATGCTGATCGGCTTAAATAAAGTCATTTCTTTAGAGACTTTCCCAGCAAGGGGTTTCGACATTGTTTCTGTACCTCGACCTGTCTCGTATGTTCTAATCATTTCTAATTCTAAATACTATGAACGGTGTTGACGTGTGGTGAATTTCAAAGGCGACAATTTGTAATTAAACTAGACCAATTGTGGCCAACATTGGGGTCAGCCGGGTTCATTCACGAGAAAAGAGGATGCAAACACGACGTCTACATAACAATAGAAATGAATGTCATTTTTAAAAAATGTTTACCTATAAAAACAAAATTTAAATCTTTTCTTTTTGTTTTGCTGAGCGTCAATAGCTAAATTTTTAATGCTTAAAAAAAATAACGAAAGGAGGCGCATTAGCTTTGTTTATATATATATATATATATATATATATATATATATATATATATATATATATATATATATATATATATATAT